TATATTTATTTATTTATTTATTTATATTTATAACTTTTAATTTATTTAATTTAAAAGCACTAAGAGGAAGGGAAATGTGTGCGCGCAGATGGAAGGGAAATATGTCTTTTATCCCCTCAATGGTTGCGCCTATGCACACGTTGCAAAATAAGTCTAATTTAAATTTACAAAATCATGGTTTTGTTTCATAGGCACATTGTTATATTTATTTATTTATTTATTTATATTTATAACTTTTAATTTATTTAATTTAAAAGCACTAAGAGGAAGGGAAATGTGTGCGCGCAGATGGAAGGGAAATATGTCTTTTATCCCCTCAATGGTTGCGCCTATGCACACGTTGCAAAATAAGTCTAATTTAAATTTACAAAATCATGGTTTTGTTTCATAGGCACATTGTGGTATATTTTTCCTTTCCATGGCTTCCAGTAAACAACCATAAAGGCAGGCGTCCAATGACAGAACAGTCCATAAGGGAGCCATGCTGTTGGGTGCAAATGTTGGTGGAAAGTAATATCAGAAGGTGCCAACCTTCCTCAGAGGAGCTCCGTGATGTGCAAAGCTGACAGCAGAATTCGCCAAAGATCCCTGGCCTCTAGACTTAGGAAATAAAGTCTTCTGCCTTGTCTACACTCTTCTCCTGCAACTGAGGGTAGCACATTTGAAAGGTAGATTCTGGACTGAGGATTTTTGCATGCAGTATCAGGTCGGAGTTTCAATAGCACACTATTTTATAGTCAAGAGTGTAAAAGCTTTAAATCCTCCTTTCTGATGGAAACAATATGCAGCTTGCACTGTACTACAATATAAGTGTCCTCCTACATGGAGCAAAGTCCTATAAAATTAATAAGTTTTATAAGCTGCAATTTCAACAGCTTTTAATGAGGTGTCTCCAAAGAACCACCAAAATAAAATAAATGGATACAATAAGTAATGAAGAAATCCCCAAATGGGCACACACCTACCTAAAATAAAACTAGTACTGAAGAGGCAGACATTTTTTAGAGGTCTTTTAAAAATACCTGATATAGGCCACTTAGACAAGCAATTCTTTTCTTTGGCAAACCCAATACAAGAAAAGGAGAGCACAAGCGAAAGGAATACTCCATTGCACAATAAAGGCTGAGGTAACATTACTTCATCATTTACTTCTGAATACATAAGAAATGGAAAAATGGGCCCAAGATATGCACTTACTAGCGTAGAAAAATATGTACAATGTACAAGGGTGAATTATTGATTCCTGTACATATTTCTTTCAGAATGTGCATATAATATTTTATTTTCGCTAATTCATCATCCCATATATAAACATACACAAGTTCAGAGCAGGAACCTGAAGTACTTTTCTTCTATACTAGAAAATGTCAAAACTAACTTTTTTTTTTTCAAATAAGTAACTCAAGTTTTTTCGACTTTACTCTGGACAGAGGCAAATGAGACAAAGGAGAATGAGCTGAATGCTATTCTGGCTCTTGCCTCCTAAGACAGTGGTGGAATTTTTCAACAGCACCTACGTGACTTAGGAGCACAAATCTAAATTAAAATGAGGACTCCCGCACCTAAATCACATAGATTGGTATTTTCAAGAGTAACCAAAAATACAGGGCCAGGTCTCTTGAATCATCAATGGATAGAACAAGACTGAACTGCAGTAACTGATGATAGAATTAGCCTGCTGAGTCTTCATTAGTGCTGCTTGATATTCCTATTTAGACTAACCATCTCTAAATCTTACATAATAGGGATGTTTTCTCTGCCCTATTATTCTCTGTAAAATGGACATTATAATATGGAATTTCCTTGACTTCTAAAACTTCCCAGTGTGTCTTCATATCAGCCTTCAGTCAGCTTCACTGGTGTTGCAGCTCAGCAGTCCCCTCGGATGACCTTTCAGCAGGTTGTTACAAGAATTTCATTCTATTTTTTACAGTGTCTTATACTGCAGCACAACGGAGATACGCGTTTTTGCTTTCTAACGACACACCTTCCATTACTGTTTCAACTGTTACTGTGTACGCATTTGCTCTTCAAACTACCAACCAAGAACCCAATCCGGCAAAGGTTTAAATACCAGTTTAAGTTAAATAGAACTAATGACAAATACAAATTAATCCCATGTGTACTTTTGAGTTGGCAACTGTAAGTTGATTTATGAACCAGCCATTTAAAAAACAGATTATAGTTAAGTAAAGAATGAGGTGATAGGCAATCAACTGAGATAAAATTTCTTGGCTGAGAAAACCTGAGAATTAAGTCTGGAAACAATGCGATTCACTGCATGTCTCAATACAGAGGCATTAACCTGACCTCCTCCTCCTTCAAGTGCTTGTTTCACATCGACTCCAATCAGGTGTGTGTGTGCCACGTGCACAATTGTTGGAAAGCTCTTCTTTTGGTAGCACCAAGTGGGTTGGTGGTGGAGTCCCTTGGAATGGCGTCTCCATAAATGACCCTGCTTAGTCCTTTCCCTAGCAGCCAATCTCAAGTGCAGGAGTTGGACTTTCCATCTACCACTGACACTTTTGAAGCTGCAAGGGACCTCACTAAGATGATGGTGCCGAAAACCCAGGCAAT